TGACATCAGAATGACTTGTTTGAGTCTACCAAGGTCTTTCTTTAATCCAAACTGACACCATGCAAAACTAAAGAAGTTACCATTATATAATGACCATCTTTGCCTTTCTTTACTCTTGTTGATTTAGAGTCAATTTTACCTGATATGAGAATGGCTTCACCTGCCTTCTTTTGGTTTCCATTTGCATGGAATATTTTTTTCCAGCTCTTCATCTTGAGTCTGTATGAGTCCTTGTGGGTTAGATGTGTTTCCTGGAGACATCAGACATTTGGCTTGTACAGCCAGCCTATGTCTCTTGAGTGGGGAATTCAAACCATTCACATTGATTGATAGAATTGATATGTGGGATGCTGTTCTGTTCATCCTGTTGGGAAGTACTTTGCTTTGTTTTACTTCTTGTACTGCTGTTTTATATGAGCTATGAGCTTTAGCTTTTCGGTGGTTTTACTCTGGTGGGTGACTATTTTGCTGATCCATGTATAATGTAGTTCTGAATATTGCCTGCAGGACGGATCTGGTCTTGACAAATTCCCTCAGTGTTTACTTATCTGGAAAAGTCTTTATTTCTCCTTCATAAATGAAACAGTTTTGCAGGATACAAAGAAGACTGAAGATGGCACCCCAATCCCTTCTGGCTTGTAAGGTCTCAGTTGAGAAGTCTACAGTTAGCCTGATGGGTTTTCCTTTGTAAGTTACTTGGTGTTTTCACCTCACGGCTTGCAGGAATTCTTCCTTCATGTTGACTTTGGCTAGTCTTATGGCTATGTGTCTTGGTGATTGCCTCTTTGAAATGAATCTCCCAGGTGTTTGTTGAGCTTCTTGAACCTGGACATCTAAATCTCTAGCAAGACCAGGGAAGTTTTCCTCAATTATTCCCTCAAATAAGTTTCCCAGCCTTTGTGCATGTTATTCTTCAACCTGAGGGATGCCTATGATTCTTATATTTGGCTGTTTGACATAATCCCATATTTTTTGTAGGCTTTGTTCATTCCTCTCAAATCTCTGTTCTTTATTTCTGACTGACTGTATCAATTTGAAAGAGTTGTCTTCAAGCTCTGAGATTCTTTCTTCTGACTGGTCTAGTCTATTCTTAAAACTTTCCACTGTGTTTTATATTTCCTTAAATGAACTTTTCATTTCCTGGAGTTCTATTTGGCTTTTTAAAAATCTCTTTAGTGAATTTTTCATTCATTTCCTGAATTGTTTTTCTGGTTTCTTTGAGTTGGTTTTCCATTTTCTCTTGGATTTCATTGAGCTTCCTTACAATCTATATGTGGAATTCTTTGTCTGTCATTTCAACATTTTTATTTTGGTTGGTACTCATTGCTAAAGAGCGGGTTTTCCCTTTTGGGGGTGTCCTTTTGCTCTGATTTTTCATAATTCCAAAGTTCTTTCACCACTTCCTTTTCATCTGGGGCAGCTGTTGCTTATTTTTGGATTTTATTTTGTTTAGATGGGGCTCCCCCTGATATTTGTAGGGTGTGTTTGTAGCATATTTTGGGTAAGAACCTTTGGCTTTGCTTATGGGTGCTTTGATGGCAATCCAGGTTCTGGGTGGGTGTCTCAGTTATAGATATTTTTAGTGTGGTGGTTTTCTCAGTTGCCAGTTGCTTATAGGCTGTAGCAGTGATGAGCTATGTGAGTGGGCAGATTCCCTGTCTCTTTGATGAGGGAAGATGGAGGTCTTTGAAATCCTTTCTCTTTCCTCAGTCCTGTGGTCTTCTTAACAGCGTGAATTGTATTGGCATGCCTAGTTTAATCTCTGAGACAGTAGATTGTGCTTGTGGGTGAGAATCAACTATATCCTATATGATTGAGTCAGTAAATGCTATAATGGGCATACAAATTGACCTCCCTGTCAGCAGATGGTGCTCGCCAGGAAGAACAGGCTCCAGTGTTGTTTTGGGGACCTATGACTAGCTCTAGTCCCTGAGGAGAAGCACTTGAATGCCCCAGATGGTAAGTGGGGCCCTGGAACTTCTAAGTGAGTCCTTATTCTCTGCCACAGCAGAAGCCGGTGAGGGAGTGAGGCTGGGTAGGGCTGAGTTGGGTGAGCCCACCCTCAGACTCCACAAAAGCTGGTAAGGTAGCTATTTTGGGAGAGGTCATATATCTGCTACCAACTTCTCGGTAATGCCACCAGGGAGGGGCTGAAGTGGCCCCACCCAACCACAAAGTCTGCTCATGGAGGCAGGCCTGTCTCAGATTCACAATCTGGCTGTCAGGAGTGGGTTTTGCTCTTCTCTCCCCTCCCCTGCTCCATGGTCTCCTTCTGGCATCTGCCGGGAGGCAGGAGCTCAAACTAGCTGAGTTCCCCCACGATTGTGCTGTGGACTGGAAGCTTCCCTGCCCGGGATCCCAGCCGGGGCTGACAGTGTAGCCTTCCTGTGGGGAGAGGGATGCCCTGCAAGTAGGCTGCAGCTGGGATCCACACTACATTCTCTTCTCAATTCTGCGCATGTCCCACTCTCTGTGGAAGCCTTGGTGTGGTGTCTCAATAGTCTCTCTCAGCAACCATGGCGCGGAGAGGGGAAGAGAAGGAAAAGAGTCTGGATGGAGAAAAGTTAGCACTCTGGTTGTCTCTGTTCCTCTCTCTAGAAGGCAGCCCACCTGGAATGTCCAAGCTCTGGAGTCATGCAGATCCCCTGGGACCCACTGGACCCCTGTGGCTCCCGCAGTCTGGACAGAGTTGGGAAGTGTTTGTGTGGAAATGAGCAAGACGAAACCTGAGGAGTTGAAGCCCCCTGGGGAGGACAAAGTGGGTAGAGAAGCAATATGACACCTGCCATGCCAGCTCAGGTCTTGGTGCCAGGATGTGCCCCAGCGGGGCTGGGAACCTGGTGTTTTGTCCACAAGAAGCTCCCAGTTTACTGATGGCAACAGCTTTTGGTTTTGTGGGGGTAGAAAGTCTCTCCAGCAGCTCAGGAACCCACTGACCATCAGAGATGTGAGGGTGGGAGAAACAAACCACTCCACCTACCCTTTTCTCTGGACTCCAAGCCTATTGGAGGTTGATCTCTGCCGAGATCTTGCTCCCTCTTGTTCTGTTCCACCACTTCTTCCCGTGGAGTCTCTTGTAGGTTCTGCCACCCTCCCTCAGAATTATACCCAATCTATGTTTGTTTGTTTGTCTGTTTCTTTTTTCTCTTTCATCTAAAACTTTTCCTTCTTACTGAGATGCTCTGGTAGCTGTGTTTCTGGTCAGCCATCTCTCCCCAAGGAGCTCTGGTCACGTGTCTTCCAAATCTAGTCTCAGTATCTATTGTTTTAATTATTGTGACTCTGTGCTGAGTTTCCCCCACCCTTTTCATTTTAATTTTTAAGTTTATTTTTTAAAATTACTAGATACACATGTACATAAATCTTTTAGCTGTTTCTTTGGTATTTACCTTCATCTTTTTAAACAATGTTTTTGTTGCTATTTGTTTGAAATTTTAACTATTTAGTTTCCATCATGAAATATTAAGACTATGAGGATCCAGTTCTTTTACGCCCATATCTTATCCCATCCTTAACTTACTCCATATATTTTCTCCTACTTACCATAACTTTTCTGTAATTTTGGTTTTGATCAGTATTAAGCATTTACATTGATATGGCTTTGTAAATAACATTGTCAGGTGAATCATGCATATAATGTAAATATATTTCCTTCTTGTATAATTTTTCTTTTTCCCTAGAGCTAATAGCTAATAATCTCTTCTCTCTTTCTCTCTCTCTTTCTCCTCTCCCTCTGTTTTCTGTTACCTATTGTTAATTTTACCCCAGACTCTCATAAGAGGGGGTTATGTCTCCTCTTAACATTCAAACCCATCAGGCAGTCTAGCAGCATCATTTTTTCTGGGGCACAGCCCTCATCCTGCTCAGAACCCATTTCCCTGCTTCAGGCTGGACTGGCTGCTTGCTGAGGCTGCAGTACCCATGTCATCCTGGGCTCTCCCTTCCTAATCATCCTGGCAAGTCCCTCCACTCATTCTTGAGTTAGATCACCTGTTCCTATGTTCCATAGCTTCATCTTCCTGTTTCTTTGTTTACTCTCTTATTTTAGGAAAACTCTCCTTTTGTGGCTTCGTGAGAAAAGATGAATGGGGAGTAAAAGTTTTGAGACCTTGCATGACTGAGAATTTCTCTAAATTTGTCTCATTCTTGAGAATACTTTGCTAGGTATAGAATGACTTCCCCTTAGCATTTTGAAGGCAAATCTTTATGTCTTCTGGCTCTACTTTTATTGTCAAGAGGTCCTACGTCATTATAATTCCGCATTTATCATGTGTAAAATGTTACCAGTGCCAGGCGAGGTGGCTCATACCTGCGGTCACAGAGACTCAGGAGGCTGAGGCGAGAGGATCACTTAAGCCCAGGAGTGCGAGGCTGCAGCATGCTATGATTGTGCCACTGCACTCCAGCCTGGGCGACAGAACAAGACCCTGTCTCTAAAAAAACAAAAATTAAAAAAAAATTACAAAAACAAAAAACATGCCCCCTCCTCTCTCCTGGAAAATTTTAGTGGCTTCTTTTCCCCCCAGTGTTCTAAAATTTCATAATAATGTGCCCATGTAGGATTTTTATTTATTATATTCATTGCTTGGTAATCATTTTCCAGGAAATGTTCTTGGACGATTTGTTAATTTCTTCCCTCGTTTTTTTTTCTGAACTCTCTGGAATGACTATTAGTTAATTATTGCACCACCTGTATCATTACCTTAAATTTTTTTCTTTTCTTTTTTTCTACTTTTCATCTTTATCTTTTTGTTTTGCCTTCAGAGAGATTTCCCCAACTTTATCACCTAATCCTTCTTTTTTCCCTATAAACTTTTATTAACTGGGGTGATAGGGAGAGTTCACACATTGTGAAAACATCAGGAAATTACAGAAAGACTTGTGATAAGTGTTGAACAGAACAGATCAAACCAACACCTGAGTCATCTGAGAAACAATAATGTCAAATGGCAGAGACCAAATCTTTGTTAGTGATAGAGGATGCAGGATAAAAACAAAGACATTGATACCCTCTGGTCTTGTAACATAAACATGCAACTTTATTTATCTATTCATTTTTGAAGTTATAATCTCCCTTGTCACTGAGCCTCAGAAAGCAATTGTTTTCCCAATTTTAATCCCCCTCTAGTAAATCTTTTCCCTCTTATCAATAACTTCCAAGTAAATTATTTGCGAAAATAACTCGTATTCATTCCTTTTTCACATCCCACAAATTCCATTCCAGGAAATTAGCAACCTCCCAGCACAGAGCCCATGTTCTGCCTCTTGGAAATGCGAACCTACACAATGGATTTTAGTCATCTTTTGTCAAAATTAGAGTATCAGCATGTGTTTACTGCAAAGCTTAGTTCCTTCTAGCAGGCATCTTTAGTCTACAACTTACTTGCCATTGCCATTTTCCACAGTTTAACTAGAGTGCATTCCTCCACCCTCTGCCTCCACATGTGGAAACCACCAACAATTCTGGCCTGACCAGTTAACCTCCTAAATCATCTCTGCAGTTATTTACCAGGAAACACTGGAAAACAGACATAAATATTACACCTCCATATACCACAGCTCAGGCTTAATTTGTAGGCAGAATTTCATTTGTTGGCCAAGGGAAGAAAAGACATCTACATAGAGTAGGGCTTGGGAGGAAGACAGAATAGGGAAAAGACATGGTGATGGCTGGACCACTGAGTGGGGAGCATGCAGTCTTGCTATTGAGTTTTTCATTTCTGCTATCAAGAGCTCCTTTTTGTATGTTCATTTTTATGGACTTCTGTTTTTATTTAAATAGTGGGAAACATCTTCTCTTTTCTGGTTGACTGAATTTATTTCCACACTTTGAGTGTTTTCCTAATCTTTGCATTGGCTCTGTTACTTCTAATTTCCTCCCTCCTGGGTGTTCTACTGTTGTCACTTTTGCTTTATATGTTAAAATATTTGCTGGGTGTCTGGTGATCCTTGGAGTCCATGCCCATGCAAGAGGGAGACACTGAAAAGCCCAGGGAAGCTCTGAGCGGGTGGGTGCCTGTTCTTGGCAAGTGGGCTTCACAGTAGGGTGATCTGGCTGGAAGATTTTCTTTGGAGGATCCCTAGCATCAGAGTCACAGGTCTCCTATCCTAGATTGGCCAGTTTCCCCAGAGAATGATTCTTCAATCTCCCGTCAGAGGAGAGAGGCTGGGAGTTTTTCTGTTCACATATAGCTTTACATTCAATCCCCATCTCTTGTATGTGAACCACCCTTTCAGCTGCAACCTGTGTCCTTAAATCCAAGCCTGTCTGTGAACTCCCCCAGAGAGGGAGCATCCAGTCTTCTGCTGGGACTGGGGAAGGGCAGCCACCCTGCTGCAGGGGGGTGCTCTGTACCTCTGTTTCTACACAGGCTTTCAGCCCATTCTTCTATCTTCCCAAAAGACCCATTCTTTACATCCTGAGATTTTCTCAGGGTCTCTGGTACAAAACAGGATGTTCTTGGGCTTCCCCCCACTCGCAGATTACATTTTTGTTTTCTCTCATCTTCTAAATCCATTATCAGTTGTCGATTTGCTTTCTGGCTCCCAAAATCTTCTTGCTGGCATCATTTTGTTTTCTTTATTATTGCAAATTCATGCCTTATTTAATTCTCTTAGTGTCATACTGTAGTGTTTTGAGGGAGCAGGGATAAACTTGTGGTTTTCTGCTATATTTAATTGGCTTTTTTGTGTAACACCTTATGAAGCTATAGCAAAGTAAAGTGCACTATTTTCATTTCATGAATAGGATTTCCAGGAAATAAAGAACAGCAATCAGCATGGAGGGGGTGATGAGGGATACTAGGCCTGGGACAGAGTCCCCCGCACCAGCCCACCAGCAGATTCAGTAATGGTGACTTCATCCTGAATCTACAGCTTCAGTCAACACCCCTAACTGGCCAGCCCTGGCTAATATTATACTTGCCCCTCCTGCCTCACTCAGCCTGAGAGCATCCAGTGCATCAGAGTCCTCCTTTCCCTAGCCTTGGCCCTAGGGATGCATGAACCTGCTTGCACGTGCAAGAAAACTTTGCTTAAGAAATCCAGCTGGTCTTCAGTCCTATTTTTTTCACATTTGACCTTGGTCAAACAAACATTAGTTGAGTGCCTGTTATAGACCAGCCTCTGTGCACACCGAGGGTCCAGCCATGCCAAAGACAGTCCTCTGTCCTTGAGGAGTTCAAACCTTCCTACACTACATGACTTCTTACGTAGTAATTGGGACTGGCTCGCGCACAGACAAGCACCGGGTGATGGCTGAGCAGCCTCTTGACATTGGATTTTCACTCACACTCACCCTCGTTTCTTTCATCTTCTATATAGACATCTAAAACTGCATTATTATTGAAGGTCATGAGAAATTAGCTTGGATCCTAATGTATAACAATGTCTGTAAAAGTAAAATATCGACATTCCTCTCTCAAGAAACAACCACCCCAGCACTCCTGCAATGGGTGCACCATCTGTGTATGAAGTTCCTGGGTCAGGTCAGCTGATGGGGGCTCCTGTGGTGAACAGTTTGTAGTAGGCACCTTTCTGGGCCATCAGTTCTTCATGGGTCCCCTTTTCAATCACCGCCCCCTGGGCCATGACAGCAATCATATCCGAGTTCTGGATGGTGGACAAGCGATGGGCAATGACAATGCAGGTCCGACCCTCTCTGGCTTTGTCTAGAGCAACCTGCACCGTCTGCAAAGAGGAGATGGAAAGTTGAGGCAAAGACGTATGAGGTTTCCCAGCCCGCTGTCACAAGAGTTCAATTAATGCTACCTGAGTAGCAACCCTATACTTGGGGAAAACCCTAAGGCTCGACCTAAGAGAGGATTAAGCAAGTATTCACTGAATGCAATGCATCAATTATTTCAGCAGCAGTGCACAGGCTGAGACACTTCAGTGAAGCTGGAAGGAAGCAAACTACGAAATCACTATGTAATTTTACAATTACTTAGTGATAGTCTAGTTTATTCAAAGGAACCCAAGGAAACAATGGAGGGTAGCAGCAAATGGTCATTCCTGATACTGTTCTTCACTGAGGACATAGTAGCTCTCTCCAAAATGGAATCCTGATTTTTAAGATGTTAATTAGAAATTTAAAATTTCATAATTGTGTTTTTCTCAGTTGCATCAACTTTCCTCCAAACCACACATCAGTTAACACCTCTTTCTTTGTGTTATATGTGGCCTACCTTCTCTGTTGCATAACTTTAGAACTACAAAATATGTAATGCCTAACAGATGAACTTTTACTTTATTTAAGTAAGCCAATTATTTGCCTTCAAAGAAACGTCACTTGGCCTAAAGAATCTTAAAAACAGTTCTTATTTTCAAGTTAAACTTTTTTTATTTGAAGCAATCTTATGCTAAATCACTGTCCTCAGATTATTATCTTTGGGTTCCACAAAGTATTGCCAATTTCTACTGTTAATGAATCAGAAAATTGAAAATAGTGCCATTTTATAAGGACAAATCTTACACCAAAAGACTCATTTATAATGATCTAAGACTTTAGAAAATCAATACGTACCTTTTCACTTTCTGTGTCTAAGGCAGAAGTGGCTTCATCCAGTAGCAAGATTTTAGGCTCTCTCACGATGGCCCGAGCAATAGCAATGCGTTGTTTCTCTCCTCGGGAGAGTTGAGACCCCTGGGACCCAACGTTAGTTTCATATTTCTGGAAAAAGTATGGTAAATTTGAGAACTAGAAATAGTCACTGCTCTCGTGTTGTATGGAGCCCACATCAATGATGCCTATGTGAGTTTAAATTATTTGTTGTTTGTTGAACTCGGGAATAGTGAATGAGTCCTTCTGTAAAGGATGTCAAATCTACTAAGGAACATAAAAAAAATATGGAATTTGTGACCTTTGCTGCTGGGAAACAAGGGACTTTATTTCCTATTTCTGTATTTCTTTTAGGTTTATATTTCCAATCTCTTTCTCCCTGGGTTTAGGTAAAATCACATGTACGAGATCCTTCTTGACTTGAGACTTCCTGATTTCCAGGCTCTGATCTGAAAAATCCTTGCAAGGTAGAATAATCCCAGGAATGGGAATGGCTTTTGAGAGATCATCTGGTCCATTCCTTTATTGGGGAGGCATCATGTTGGAACACAAGCCTTGGTGAGAATCTCCACTTTGCTGCTTACTAGCTCCGTGATCATGAAAAAAACTATTTTAATTTCTTTGAGTGGCAAACTCATCTGAAAAATGCATATTAATAATGAGTTTGGAGACTTATTGTGAGTTTTAGATGAAATTAGGGAGGAAAATCTCTAGCTAGATGCTTGGCATGGCTACATAAAAATTAATTAACATTCATGGAGTATTTACTGTGTATCGGGTACTGTGCTAACTATTCTAGCCAGGTTATCACTTAATATTCACAGAAGCCATACATCTGTAGTTTTCAAATTACAACACTTAGGCACAGAGAAGTAAGAAAATGGTACAAAGACAAACAAGTAGCAAGCAGTGAAAGTGAAATCTCAACCAAGGAATGTCTAGCTTCTGGGCCCCTGCCCTTGGTGAGTGCTCTTCCTGATCTTCCATAAGATCTGTCTCCTTCCTCCACCTCCCTTGCCTCCTGACAAATGCTCGACTAAGCCTGGTGAGACCAACGACAACATACTTTGTCCTCGTGGAGACAAAATGCTCAGGGAAGGGTGTCATGGACAAGTCTATAGGAGAAAGAGGGAGTAAACCAACTCTAATCAGTGTCTTGCACAAAATGAGTAGATGTTCAATAGAGATTTGTGGAATAAACGAACCTTCCAGGAGACACATAGCTTTACTTTTCAACTCTGGATGCTGCAAATAATAATTTGCACCTGCTTACAGATTGGACCATCCAGGTAAAAACTGGGCCAAGAGCCTAACACTTAAGGGACTTTGTGAAAAGAACAAACAAAAAAGTCCCCCACAAACACCACAAAATCTCTAAACATAATCACTTACAAAGAAAAATAATTTCCCCAGTGGCATTTTGAAAAAAAAGGAAGTGGAGAGGTCAAAGGTAATAGTTTGCTCCTACAATTTGGTTTCCATGTTTTAATTTTCCTTATAACCAACCACTAAAAGTTGGATGAGACAATGCTTTCGAAAACTAAAAAGTATGTTGATGAAGGACATTTATTTTGCCTAAAATCCTGGGGCACTGGGAAATAAATTGTGTTGCCTTTGACCTTCTTCTTGAGCCACAATCATAATATAGGTTCAATATCCCTTATCTGAAATGCGTGGGACCAGAAGTGTTTTGGATTTTATTTTTTTCAGATTTTGGAATATTTACATATACATAATGAGATATCTTGGAGGTGGGACCCAAGTCTAAACACGAAACTCATTTACGTTTTACATACACCTTATACACATATCCTGAAGGTAATTTTATATAACATTTTTAATAATTTTGTGTATGAAACAGTTTTGGCTGTGTTTTGACTGCAACTTGTCACATGAAGTCAGGTGTGGAATTTTCCACCCTGGCATCATGTCAGCACTCAAAAAGTTTCGAATTTTGGAGCATTTTGGATTTCAGGTTTTTGAATTAGGGATGCTCAATCTGTCCTTGTTGGTGATTCTACCTCTCCCCATCCCCATCTCCTGTAGGAAATGGCTGGCTGTGAGCTGGTACTCACCTCTGGGAGGGACATGACAAAGTCATGCAGCTGAGCCTGCTTTGCAGCCGCTATGACTCTTTCCATGGGAATTTCTTTGGTGTTGTCACCATACTTGATGTTGTCCATTATGCTGCAGGCAAATAACACTGGTTCCTGGGAAACAATTCCGATCTTTGAGCGGAGGAACTGGATGTTTACTTTTTTGCTGTCATGCCCATCTATCATCTGCCAATAGAGGTGACAACAAAGGGCATTAAGTTTTAGAATTCCTGCAGTGAGGAAAGTTCATATTCTAGAGTTAAGAGTTATGCAGAACATTTAGTTTGCTAGCAGACAACAATCCCAGGGATCCGGACAATAAATTATGTTGCTTTGACCTCTGGAGGTAGTGTCCGACAGGAGTGGTGTTGAAGTTATCACTGATCAGACTATGATTTTGTTTGTTTGTTTCCCAAACTCTAGCTCTACAGGTGGAAAAATGAGAAAGAGACTCAGGACAGTATTTGGTTAAGAAAAAATTTCCCCTTATGCTTTGACTGCAGCATACTCCACAAATATACAGAGTTGCTCAATTTTGAGACTCCATGAGTTATGAAAAGGATTTTTCTATGTGAAGCTATTGGATAATGTAATAGTCAAGCCTGTTTCTTTGAGTTTACTAACACGATTCTCTGAATAACTGTGATAATAGAATCAAATTTTTAAAAGGAATACATTTATTCACTTAGTTGATCAACAAACATATATTGAATCACCTGCCACAAAAGCACCATGCTAAGCAGTCTGTGTCTGCTACAGAAAGAAAGCATAGGCTGGGTGTGGTGACTCGCGCTTGTAATCCTAGCACTCTGGGAGGCCGAAACAGAAGGATTGCTTGAGGTCAGGAGTTTGAGACCAGCCTGAGCAAGAGCGAGACCCCGTTTCTACTAAGAATAGAAAAATTAGCCAAGTGTTGGGTGTCATGGCACATGCCTGTAGTCCCAGCTACTCAGGATGCTGAAGCAGGAGGATCACTTGAGTCCAGGAGTTTGAGGTTGCAGTGATCTATGATGAAGCCACTGCACTGTACCCTGGGCAATAGAGCGAGACTCTGTCTCAAAAAAAAGCATAATCTCTGTCTCCTAGAAACTCAATCTAGTTAGGCAGTTAAGTTCGGATACTCAAATATCTACCATTTGAGCTGGTTCACTTAAGAGTCCCAGAATAGCAAAGATACAGTGCGTCTAATATACTACTATAAAGTGGCCCTTTGATTTCAGAGAAAGATTATGTTAAATGGCAGGAACAGATTATATTTTAGATAATTTATCAGCAAAAGAAAAAGCAAACATTATTAGAAAAAATACAAGGCATTCCTCAATAACAATTAGCCCTCACTTATCTTGCTCTATTCATTTTCCATAGTACTTAAGTCTGCACAGCACAATTTAATAATTAAATACCGGAACCGTTTGCTAATTGTCCTATCTGTGCTATATTGCCTGCTCCTGCAAGACGGAAGACATGTTTATGCTCCTTAGACTCTCCCATGGGGCCTAATGCAGGAAGAGGCACATCAGAGGTATCCACTTAAATGCTGAAATATTGAATGCCTGTACTTGGTAGCTTCCTTAAGAGCAAAGAGGACTTTTAAAAATTGATTAAAAGTGGCATATTTCCTAATTAAAAATGTTTGTATTATAGAAATGTTTTACAATGACATAACAAAATATAGTGTGCCTATGAAATGCAAGGAATCATAATGATTTCCTCATGGGCCTTGCTTTCTACCTGTGACCAGAATATTCACTGGACATATGCAGAGAAATATACTAATAGAGTGTTAATGTTGAAAAGCTCAAACATGAAGGATTCAGGTTCCTGAGTCCCACATAGTTTTCAATCTACCTGGTGACAGACATGATAGAGATGACATTTTGGAAAAGTGAACCCTCTTTCTTACAGAGATCAGACCCCTGGTGGAATGCGCGTTCTAGGTCCACCAATCACCAAATACATTGAAATGAATTAAAATCTTTCTTTACCCTTAAAATTAATAACAGAAGTCATTATAAATTATAGGTAATCAACTCTCACTCTTTATTTTTATAACTTCCTGGATTCTGCCAGGAAGAGTAAGTTTGCTTGTTTCCTTGCTTTGCTTTATGAAAAGGAATCTTTAGTTGCCTCTTTCAAGTTTCTCTTAGCATTTCTCTTCGTAATGTTATCTATCCTCATTGCACTGAAGATCGTACTATTCAAGGAAACCAGAAAGGCCGTTTTCTAAATATTAAGCAATGATTCAAATACGGAGCAAAATAAAACAATTTCATACCCATACCTCTAAACGATTTCTTAGAAAACTACTTGTGGGTGCACTTCAACAAAAGCAGGGTGAAAACCAAGAAAGAGGAAGATACAGGAACTAGGAAATAATGGATCTAACTCAAGAAAACATCACAAGGAACTCACAGGATGACAACTGCTCAACAGGCAATGGTTGCAATTAATCCAGGCGGTGACAAAAATGAGGGAATAGATGGCAGGATGGAGATATTGGAAGAACATAAAGATTTTTATAAAGGCAGAGAACGTGAGAGAAAAAGAAAGCCTTTTAGAAAAACAAGAAAGCAAATGTAATGCTAATATACCTCACTATTTGACTTTAGGATGAACAACATTTACATAATTATAACAAAAGCTGTTAATTGATTTCCAACTTTTAGAATCAACCTAGAGTGAAAACAGGAAAGAAAATCAGCCTTTTAAATAGAACATAAGCATTTTTTGTTCTTGATAATATAAAAGCACAGTTAGAACTTGAGAAGGAAAAGGAGGGAGTAAGAAGTGAAAAAGAGGTAGGATAGTGAGAATTCTCATTTTAGAAAGCAAGCATTCAAGATACATTTTATATAGGTGGTGGAAAAGCAACAGAAGTGTGTCAGTTAAATTTACAAATAGAGGAGCGAAAAAATGATACAAGTACACTGGGAGGAGGTGGATAAAAGGAGGGAGTGGTGAGGGTAAGCTAAATTTCTATCTCTTGAGAATAAGTCAGCAGAGAGTCTAAATTTGTTAAATTGTGAAACAGCAATATGAGCACATTGTTTGGAGACATAAAAGTCAACATTGGGAGACCGAAGAACTTCAAGTGTTTTAAAATAGTTGCCTTTGGGCAGAGAAAGGCAGGATGGGGTGGAAGGGTAGAGCAGGGAGTTGCTTTTTATTATTATACAAACCTTTCTTTGCTATTTGATTTTATAATCCTCTGCATATATTACTTCGGAAGAAATAAAAAAGGGAGAGAAAAGAAGAGAAAGAAATGCTGTGAAAAATAAGCAACAAAGTAATTTACCAATTTTTCAAATATCCTTGCCAAAGCTTTATGGTGCATGGCTATCAATTTGAGTTCCTCTGATTATTTAGAATTAAGCTTCTTGAACAAGGATCGTCTCAGACTTTTTCATGCTTAGTCCCCTTTCTTGCTCATTCGTCATTGTGTCCCTTATCACCCTCACTTTTTCCATTCCCGGTCATTAGTTTCCTGATTAGTCTGCACTTTCTGCTCCATTTACAGGTAAACGAATGCTTCTATTAAATACACTCATCTCCAGCTTTGCACCGTGTGTGCCCAGTTTTCTTTGCCTAACTGGTCAGCAGCCCATTTGGAACTGGGAAACTATGATGTTAGAAATTGTGGGGTAGAGTCAGGTCAACCAGCAAATGACAGGAACTGGAAAATATGCATAGGGATAAAGTGTCAGGCAAGCACTTTACAGTGAGTCTGCCAAAGCATAATCTTGAAGATCACTGTTAGGGTTGGAGATATTCTGCAGAAAGCAACATTCTCAAAAGCATGTGCGGCCGGGCACGGTGGCTCATGCCTGTAATCCTAGCATTCTGGGAGGCCGAGGCGGGCGGATTGTTTGAGCTCAGGAGTTCGAAACCAGCCTGAGCAAGAGCAAGACCCCGTCTCTACTAAAAATAGAAAGAAATTAATCGGACAACTAAAAATATATAGAAAAAAATTAGCCGGGCATGGTGGCGCATGCCTGTAGTCCCAGCTACTCGGGAGGCTGAGGCAGAAGGATCGCTTGAGTCCAGGAGTTTGAGGTTGCTGTGAGCTAGGCTGACACCACGGCACTCACTCCAGCCTGGGCAAAAGAGTGAGACTCTGTCTAAAAAAAAAAAAAAAAAAAAAAAGCATGTGCATTGCTTACCACTTTCCCTTGATCAGGATCGTAGAAACGTTCCAACAGCTGAATACTGGTGCTTTTGCCACATCCACTGCTTCCAACAAATGCCAGTGTCTGCCCTGGATTAACCGACACTGACAGACCATTCAGAACTTGCACATCAGGTCGAGAAGGATATGTAAATTTACAGTCAACAAAATCAATCTTCCCCTGGAAGTTGTCCTGTGAATGGGAGGATTGAAATTCCACATGTTCTTACTGGAGTTTAGAATATCAAAAATGCACCTAAATCTGAGTTTAAAATCCCTGCTTAAGACACCTTCAAACCATGCTGCCAAAGTGCAAAGTATAGAGACAGCAACTTAATGAAAGGACGTTCCATTCCCTATTCTATCATAGCAGGTGTAGTACAAAGGGAGGCTTGAGCAGTGAAATAAAAGACATTTGACCCCTCTCATTCCCACTCTAACCTAATGGGATTTCCTCGTCATCCATTACTTGACATTCTGAACAGAAGAGACTGGCTAGAAGATATTATTACCTGACAGAAGCCAGTAACTGTTCAAACCCTACAGCTCTGTTCCCCCAAAGACTCAACAACATTTTACTTAGAATGACCTAGAGAGAAGGTTCCTTGAGGTCTGTACTGCAAAGGTGAGTATTTTCTATTATACTTCAGTGTGCTTAAAACTATCAAAATTATAAACTCTAGAAATGGATAGACATTTAATAGACCACACAGAGACTTTACTTTTATTGAGCTAAAGGAGAAACAGGTCATTGGATCAATTTAAAAAGATTTCAGAATTTAATTTGATTTAACTAGTGTTTAGGTTTTGTTTTGCTCTCTTGAACATACTGAGGTTTTCAAAAATAGACAGGGAAGATGAAAAAACACCTCTGGGGACTATCCATTAGCAGAGAAGATATCTTGTTGAGATTGAATTACATTTTCTGGGCATCCACATGAGCTAAAACTTGAAGCCAGATGAACATGAATCAAATCAATACCATTTGGACGGGAAGAGCTGGTTTTTCTACATTCTATACCAGAACATCAATAGAAAGCATGGTGGTTGGGAGGTCTCAAAATACAACAGGCTTCCTTCCTTCCAGAACAATATCATACGGAATTTAGCATTCATTGGATATCAGTGCCTTATTCAAATGCCAGCTTTAGGAATAATTTTTAATGCTACTTTATTTCATTCCTTTACATTTATAAATCTACTGTCTGTCCCTTCTGAGCACATATGAATGAACTTATACACTGCAGGAATTTAGAAGCTAGGAGGTAGTGTATGACCATCCCTAATGGCTGTTCTGCACACATACACATAAAGCACGACCAATACTTACCCATTTTTCACCTGCACTACTGTATACATTGATTGGGGGGCGTCGGTCCAGCAGTTGAAAAAGGTGTGCAGCTGCTATTTTAGCTTTGGCATAACTTGGGGTGTAAGAGGAGGCTCTTCCAAGAGCTGTCGCACTCAGCACAACTGCAGAGATCACCCTGCAATCAGACAGACACACAGGTAGAAAGCGGTGTGACGCGGTTGGTGTGATGGTCAAAGAAGCAGGAGTTTGGGGCTCTAGCCCTGGTTCTGCCAGGAAAGGACCGAGAAGCCTTAAGCAAGTCACTTGTCTGGGACTAGGTGGCGGGACTGGGGAGATTAGCAGTGCTCAAATTGTGTTCTATGAAAAAGTGGTGAGGGGGAGACTGAACAAGGGGGCACTCAGAACTCCAAACCCTTATTCAACCACAATAGCCTCTTTGTTTAAAAAATTTTTTTCACCAAAAAAAAAAAAGACTTCTGAAAATTAAAAAGGAGGGGACTTGAAAGATCACCAGATTGGGTTGATTTTCTTACAACTCTAACATGTTTTGAGTCTATAATAGCTGTGTCAAAGATAATAATTGGTGATGCTGATGTGAGCATCAATTCTGTGCCAAGCATGCATGTAACTCATGCTTCAGACAGCGTGAGAAAGACGCAATGGCCTGTATCCTTCTACATGTCTCAGTCTTTAACTATATTGTACTTAATGAATAAATGAATGAATGAGTGAACAAATGAGCGACTGATAAATATGAGCAATGGCTCTGCTGCTGTACAGACTATGATGTGAGGAGTAGCCCCCAAAGCTGTGCACCTGCTCCACCATGTGCAGAGGGTCTATCTGGGTGGGGATGGGGCAGGGAGTGTGTTTTTGAGTGACATGTTGCTCACTTTATAAATAGGAATTGTTTTAGGCCAGAGCTGCAGATCCAAACATCTCCAGGAGCCCAGTCCAAAGCTTAAGGGAATAAAAAGTACTTGAAATAAAATAGAAATGGTAGAAGATGACTTTCCAAGTTTTTAAGATGAAGCCAGAAACTGGGAGTTTTCTGTAGTCTCCCAATTTTGACATGTTGGCAAATAATTCTTTTAAAACCTTACATAAACTAAACAATATCAAGACAACAGTCTGTGCTTTCTGATTTGGGTTAGTAGCTTTAAATATGCAAAGATTTAGAATGTGCACCCTGTCCCCTGGCATTCCTTAGGCTCTCACTTCCGGAAATGTGAGAAACTGGACTCAAAGATGATCTTCTTAGAAAAGCAGGCTCTGGCTACAAGAAAGGAACATAATTCCCCTGTATTAGAAAATATGATGCATGGAGAGCCTTGAGAGGTGCTTGCACACTGGGGCTTGCCCTCTCTTGTTGCACTTGGAACTCTGAGACCATAAAGTGAAGAGGGGTCACACGGAGACAGAAGGACACTCAGAAGAAGCCTGAGGGAATCAGCCTGGGCCAGAAGAACCACCCGACAACCCACAGAATCTTGAGGAATAATTAATCCCAGCTGTTTAAAGATACCAAGTTTGGGATAGTTTGTTAAGCAGCGAAAAGCTAACTGATAGAACCAGGCTATTCCTTCCTGCAGTGTGGACATTTTATGATCTTGGCCAGATCTTCCTCACCTGAACACATAGCTGAAATGGAGCCCCTCATGGAGGACTAAGTAACCTCCATATCTGTAGGAAGCAGAATTAGCCATAAACACTACGCTTTGGGAAAAGGCAAAGCACAATCCATAAACATTTGCTTTCTGAATGGCTGTCTTGAATGGCTTCTCCAGCTCAGTCTCAAATGCTTCAATGAACCACTTCTCCTTCCCAAGTCCAGCAATGGCACGGATATTACTGAGGGCTTCACTTGCAATCTGAAGAATGAAAATGAGTGTTAGGAATAAAAGGGCAGAAATAACTCCTTTCAAGACATTTGAACAGCTACATGGATCAGATCTTGTGCAAACAGCAGGCTGTGGTACAAATCAGAGATGGCGGCATCATCTGGCAACACAGAGAGGATGCTGGAGATCAACCCAACTGGACCAGGAGACAATTTTTCAGTTAAATTCAAGTTCCACTTAATTCTAACACAGCATGGCTTTGCTGCTTCCCCTTGTGATAGAAGAAAGAAGGGGAAAAATGGTACATATGGTTATCCTTGAAAGTTTTTAGCTTCTTTTCTAATTCATTTGAAATGTATAACATGGCTTCTTTAGATGTCTTAAGAAACCACAGATTATTTAATAATATCAATTTAAAATTTAAAATATTAGATTCTATTTTCTTAAAATATTAATCTTACCAAATACTACATAAGATATTCAAAATTAAGTATAAAAATTTTATTTTCGTCGATACTATGAATTTGCATTTGTTTCAATCCACACTCTAGGGTAAATACTCACTGCTTCTGAATTAGGGTCCTACCCTACAAAAGTGCCAACGCGGACTACTTTCCACCACTGACTTACGAAGTTCTTTTGGCTTCTGCCTACTTGAGCAGTGTTCATACTCCCTTTCTTAAAAGAGATAAAACTGAGAGTAGAGTGAATTTGTTAAAAGAGTGTGTGTGTGTGCATGTGTGTGATTTCTCATATCTGATAAACGTCTATGCCACCACCCCCTCATAACCCCTGATGACCAGATATTAATTAGAATATACTTTTAAAAATGCATAGCTAAAACCTAAGAGTATCTGAAACCCAACTTACAGCTCATGATTCTTGTCCTAAGCCTAGCAGACTCTAAAGTGTGAAAATTAAAGGTGTACAATATCAAAAATAATAGCTCCTCTCTGTGTAGACAGCATGACTCAGGGAAACCATTAAGCTGAAAAAACCTCACAGACAGAAAACTGAACTATCTACCCCTGCAAGTGAAAATATGACCAATTAGGATGTGAAACAAATCACTACTCTCGAGAGGAAATTGAACATGCAACCCTGTGTGTTCACCCCGTATTTCTCCACGCTTGCTCAAACCCAGAGCATCAGAGCTTTGGGCCAAGGCACATAAGAAAAGAGTGTGGAAAGTTTCTCACTGTGCATGTCTGCGGGCTGACAGCTTCCTTAAGTCTCTTTACACTACCTATCTTTCACGGTTTGTCTGACAGCCACTCAGACATAAGCACTCTGAAAATTAGGTCTGTAAGATTACCTGTCCCGCTATCTCCATAGCCTGCTTGTCTTTAGAGGCAAATCCTGTCAACATTCTGGACTGCATGGCTCCGGACAAAGCCAAGAAGGGGAAGAAGCACAAGATGACCAGGCTCAGCTTCCAGCTAAAGGAGAAGGCAATGATCATGGCCACAGCAACGTTGACGAAGGAATTGACTATCATCCCGATTTGAGAGCCGGTAGCCTGCAAACCAAAAGCAGTCAACCCATTTCAGACACACAGTCTCTTTTACCAAATACCATTATGTGAAAAGCCTATTTTATACCAAAGAGAGAGGTTCTTTTTTAAATTGTGACAGAATTTACATAACAATCTTGATCACTTTAGCCATTCGTAAGTATATAATCAACGGCATTAAAAATATTCACAATGTTGTGTACCCATCTATACCCAAAACTTTTTTTATCATTCCCAATAAAAACTCTGTACCCATTAAACAATAACCTCCCCTTCCTCCCTCCCCCAAGGTCTTGGTGACTTCTATTCTCTCTGTGTCTATGAATTTGCCCACTCTAGGTACCTAATATAAGTGGAACCATACAATATTTGTCCTTCTATGTCTGGCATATTTTGCTAAGCACAATGTTTTCAAGGTTCATCTGTGTTGCAGCATGTGTCAAAATTTCATTCCTTTTTAAGGCTGAATAATATTCCATTGTATGTATATACCACATTTTTTATCCATTTATCTGTTGGTGGACACTTTGGTTGTTTCCAACTTTCAGCTACTATGAATGGTGCTGCTATGAACATTGGTGTGCAAGTATCTATTCATGTCCCTGCTTTCAATTCTTTTGGATATAGACCTAGGAGTGGAATTGCTGGGTCGTATAGAAGTTCTTTGTTCAAAACGTTAAGTTCTTTTAAATGATGAGCTTCCCTAATGTATTTGAAGGCTGGATTAATAAAAGCTTACTTTATTCACAGCTTTTCAGAAGCTCATTTATTGACTAATCTCATTTTATGGGTATCAGGGCTAGGGCAGCCTGTCTGATATTAACACAGCCTAAAGCGGGCTGCACGTGTGTCCGGTACCTATGCATTTGGCTTGATTGAAGATACCCAGGCATTGGGCTTGTGTTAATATTCCTTATTATTCAGTGAAGATCAATGCTTGCTGTATAATTATACTTTTGAAGTCGATACAGGACTGTTACAAGATACCACTGTGATTCTCATTGAAGTGATTCTGTTCTTTTGTGCAAAGTTACACACTACCTTAACACATACACAGCTGTTTAGTCAAAGCAGATGGGCAAATAGGATTCAGCCCCAACATAGGTAGAGGATGGACCATTGTGGTAATTATAATCTATACTAATCAGAAGTACTCAATGGTTTTGAGTCTTCATTTCAGTTGCTGCTAGGTAGATATGATCAAAAGTTGGTGCACTTAAGCCCTTTGATCCAGTAATTATATTTTGAGAACTAAGAAAATAATCAAGGATGTGGTAAGCTTGCTATAAAATGATATGTTGTATATAAGGAGAAAAAAGACAGGAAGAAACCTAAGTAGGGAATTCTTTAAGAAGTGAAAATTACTTTAAAATGATGTACTATGCAGTCATTAAAAATCTATTGTAGAATATTATGTAATGGTGAAAATATGCACACATTAGATTTTTTTAGGGGAGAAAAGAAAGACTGTAACACAATATGTAGAGTGTGACCCTAAGTCTATGGGAAACACGTGCACACAGAAAGCCTAGCTGGATTGGAAGTGAAATATTTATAAGGATTTTTCCTCCAAGAGAGAGGATTTCATGTTCCATTGAAATTTTGCCATATCATTTTTGATATTTTTGGTTGAACTAGCTAGGAGTTGAGACACATTATACAACAGCACTATCAATCCAGTAAAGTGTTTTTCCTCCAAGAGCCTCACAAACCATGATTTGGTTGAAAAACCATGCTTTTATTCTTTTTCTTTCTTTCTTTTTTTTTTTTCATTCTCACAGAAAGTGTGTAGAGGTGCTGGGAGGCAAATTTGGTTTTCTTCACGCGTTGGTTTAATCCAACGCCTGGTTTTATAAAGGCATAGCCTTATCTTACACATGTGTGTAAGTCCCTTCAGGCTGAAGGTTCTGGGGTCTACAGAGAACAGCTTTGCTTTTTCTAAGGCAAATCACATCCTGGAGGCTTCCGCACGACCTTTGCTTCCACCCTCTGGGGGGCGTTATTGAGTCTGGTGGAATCTGAGCCTCTGGGCCTAAAAATAAGCTGAGAAATGAGTTTCTGGAAAGTTCTTCTCTTGCTACACCCGGAGGAAATCCAAAACCCGGACAGATGCTGATGCCAGAACACTGAAACTGGGCACTGCTTGGAGACGCCGTGTTTAAGCTGCTATTCATCAGCATTAGAAATGGTAGAAAATGTGGCTAGGGGTATCCTAATCCCACTGGTTCCTACTCCACAGGAAATATGTAGGTGGCTATCAGAACGCTCCAAGTTTCTTCCCATAGCTTACCCCTTGAACTTGGGAAGCATCTGCAGCAAGTCTTGTTGTGAGTGCTCCAGGGCTATTTCTGAGGTCATCAAACCAGCCAATGTCTTGCCCCAACATTGCCTTGAAACCAAATTTACGTAGCCTTTTTGTGAGGAGCTCCCCGGACTTAGCAAAAGCATATCCCTAAAACATAAAGAAGGAGTTTTTAGTAATATTTTAACATGAAAAAAATCGGAAAATAGCTAAATCACTTACAGAAAAATTAAATTCCTTACCTGCAGAAATTGGGTGACAAGGGATACACAGCCCATTGCTACAAAAAGTAGGCACGCACCATTGATCTGTAACCTCTGTTCCTCTTTATCAGGAAGTGAAAAAGTCTTGGAAAGATAGTAAGCCAGGAAGAAACTTTATTATTATAAACAGTAAAAAATAAATAAATTCAAATATGTTTGAAAGAAATTTCTTTTAACATGTCATTATACATTTGTCCAAATCCATAGAATTTATAGCACCAAGAGTGTACCGTAATGTAAACTATGGATGTTGGGTGATCGTGCTGTGTCAGGGTAGGTTCATCAATTGTAACAAATGCACCACTCTGGTGGGGGAATGTTGATAATGGGGGAGGCCATGCGTGTGTGGAGGCTGCCGGTATACGGGAAACTTCTGTATCTTCCTCAGTTTTTCTGTGAACCTAAAACTGCTCTAAAAAAATAAAGTCTTTAAAAAAATGGTTTCACTTTAAACATACTAGTAATTACATCAAAGTTAGCTATACACATGATGATGATGTATTTCAATCCTCAGTGGGGAAAGAAACCTAGTGAATGGAACCCAATGGTGAAGTTTTTGTCTTGTTTCTTTGCTTGATTTAGGCAATTGTGTTGGCTCTTCTTTGACACAGATAAAAAGATGATGAAATGACTCAAATCCTTTAAGTAATAAAGCAAAGAGAGAAGGAAGAAATGGAGAAAAGAAGGGAAGGAGGGAGATAGGAGGGAAGGGAGGAAGAGAAGAGGGAGAAGGAAGGAAGGAGGGAGTGAGGAACCAGGGAGGAAGAAAGACACTTGTGAATTTGACAATGTTATCTGGGACAAAACTCAAAGTATTATTTTGACCTCTGTCTTTCTCAAATAATAGATGCAAGAAAAATGATTTTTAGACTCAGGTAATTTGCCTCTTATTAGTTTTATAGAATATACAACATTAAAAAAGAAGTTAATTTTTAAGGGGTTGACTGCAACTGGTGTAGAAGAGAAAAAAAATTCCATCCGAGACTGAGGTGGTTTCTAAATCAGCGGGTCCCCAACCTTTTTGGCACTAGGGACCAATTTCATGGAAGGCAATTTTTCCACAGGCGAGGGTCAGAGGGTGGGGGGTGCAGAACTCAACAGCTATAAATACAGTTGAAGCTTCCTTGCTGGCTGGACTCACCTCCTACTGTGTGGCCCAGTTCCTAAACTCCCCACCCCCAGGAGTTGGGGACCACAGCTGTAAATCACCAGAAGCTGGAAACATTCCTCCCCCAAACCCTATGGAAATTGTGAGTGGGGTTTTTTAGTCTATAATGAATAGTAAACTGTACTCATAAATATATTCTGAACTTACAGATGTTTGCTCAAGTACCTGATTGAGGTTTAAGCTGTTACGATAAGAAAATGAAAAAACATATTCCAATGATATTCCCGGGCAGTGAAATGGATTTTAGGTAAAACACAACCTTCCTAAGTCAAACGATGTAAAGGAACTGGGCGGGTTCAGAGACATAAAGCATTAGAGAGCTGTACAATAAATCCTTAATTATGGTTCTAAATTAATTTGAGTAATTAGAACAGTGCCAACAAACAGTTGCTCAAAGGAAACCATTTCTTCAACAACTATTTACTGAGTGCCTACTATGTGCCAAATAAATCTCCTTGAAAAACAATGTATACTATCCATTTTTTGTAAAGCAAAAGTAACCTGTCCAAATTTTCACAAATTCCAAAGTGGGGAGGAGGCATTCCAGATAATGAGATTTTACTGTTTCCCAGACAGAGTTTCTAGGGCCTTCATGGTTCTCAAAACAGGTGAAAGTAATCTTCCCAGAAGAGCAGAAGTCACAGTAATTCTTCCCAGAAGAGCAGAAGTCACAAGTTTACAGAATTTACACATTCAGGAATTTAAAGCTATATTTCAGTTTGGTTCTTTAAATCACTATATGAATACTCTGAAATCTCAAACGGTGATACCACAATTCCCATTCCTTCCTAAGACTACCTTTCGTAACCATGGACTACAGAACTGCAGATTTGCCATTTGTCCAAAACATCAAGTTGTTTACTCAATTTCATTTAGCTAGTGGTTATTACTGGATAAGGAGATGCCTGTTTTTCAGCTTCTGGTGCAGTGGTTTTCTTCTGGGCAAGCTCTTTAGGCTCTTTTTGTTTCCCACCTTCTCAGTGTTAAAAAGAGTATTTGGCTAACGTTCAAGTCCATACAACTGTCCAGTTCAAGATTGGGCATCTATCCATCCATAATGTTTTTTCACAAAATTCTGCTCCATGAGTTCTTTGTACATTCTTAGTGTTGAAATGCAGCCCAAAGGGCCACCCATCCATAGATTCCTCTGTTCTTTGACTAGCTATAGTTTGAACATACATCTTTGTCATTTTTGTAATGGTTAAGTTTGTTTAAGGGGAAAACTAACGTTCATTAAACTTCTGCTATGTACCAGATGTCAAATGTGTGGATTAACCTGCTCTAACTTAAATCAGGATTTTCTTAAATTAGGATTCTCAAAACAACCCAGTGAGGTAGGTTTTCCTGCTCCATAACGCAGATAAGGAAGCGAAGTCTCATCGAGGATGAGTCACTTGCCCAAATGCCCACAAGATAGTACACAGCAGAGACCTGGCTCTACCAGGGCTGGCTGACTCTCAAGTCCACGCTTTCTCCCAGGGTAGGCATCCAAATTGCTGTGCTTGGAACACCCGGCACGTTTTCCAAGTCAAGTAGACTTGGAAAGTGAAGCCGAAAAATCATGCCTTACACGTATATTGAGGCTTAGCTAGATTAGCAACCAGGCGCCTAATAGGGCTCAATCATTTGCTGGGTCCATTCCCACAGCGTGGTTTCAGTACACCGAATGTGAATATGGAGCCCTTTAGGGATCTCAAAATGAAAACAGAGCAATTAAAAACAGACTTATAATTATGCCCTGTGAGATGAAAGCATCATGAATTTACTGATGAATCCATGATAAGTGCGCTAAGAGACAAACAGAAATAATCTTCTTTATCAGAGAGAAAAAACGGTGGTTTGTTTAGCATTATTCTCTTAGCAAATGCAGCCCTAAGAGAACAAGGACACTGAGCCAGCTTTGGATTTCACCAACTAGATCCTGCTACTGTTGTCCCCTGAAAAGTGAGAAGCTCAATTGCTTGCTTGAAGGCCATCCTAGGATTCCTGGTTGTGACTAGAAGAATCACAGAGAATGCTCTCACTGCCAGTGACCAAGTGAGTGCTCAAAAACGGCAGACACTATAGCTGAATCATAGCTGAATCAAGTTTTTGTTTTTTTTTTTTCTCATTTGGCCATTTCATAGACCACTAGAGCTGGAAGCTATCTTAGGGACCATTTTTGTCTACCCTTTATTTTATAATTGAGGAAACCGAGGCCCAGAGAAGTGGCATGGTGTGACCCCAGGCACACAGGGTATGGTAAGTAACTATTAAGAAAAGAACCAGTTTCAGAAAAAAAGTCTCCTGACAGGGAAGTCAGGACTCTTTGCACAGCAGCTCATGTACCCGGTTTGGGTGGAGTTGGGTGAGTATGTTCTTTACTCTGCTTTTATAAAAGAGAAAGATAATCAGCAAAGAAGCTGACATTCTGGATTTGTTTCTTACAAAGCAAACTTCCGAGACACAGGCTTGGATTCTTTCAGATTCAACCCTATGTCTACACCTGCTACGCTTCCGTCATAGCTCAGTGAGACGCATTTGCTGAGCCTCTCCCTACTAGAGCGTCAGCTCTGCGAGAGCAGGGAGCCACCTGGATTTTCTTGTTCTCTCTATTCCCAGCACAGCAACAGCGCCTGGCCAAGTGTGGGTGGTCAATACATATTTGTTGAGTGATGAGTGGATTTTTCTGTTTAACGTTTGCCTTCCTTGCAGACTGGAGACTGCACTGGGGAAAGCATCATAACTGACACGGTGTTCCCCAGTCCCTAGTGTGGTGTCTGGGCGAGACAGACAATAAAGACCTATTCAGGGAGTAAAATATTTATTTTATATTTGGATATTGTCCTTCCTAGAAGATCAAGTATTTAAAAGAGTTTTAGCATAAAAGGTTGTGGCACCACATAACCAGGGGTTCAGTTAACCAAAGTTAAATGTCCCTGTGTTTCCAATGCTCCCTGAAATGAACACGATTTCCTGACTTACCACAAGGTGGCAGTGTGAAAATTAAAGCGGTGGCTGGGGCCCTCCCTGCACAATGGACTTGGTATTAATTGTGGATTATCCAGGTCTTTCTGTACATGCCTGTGGGGACATTTTTATGGTCAGGACCTTTATGGGAGAGGTGGTGAGGGAGAGAGAGAAGGAGAGAAGGGAACTAGAGCCTTTATCACTCACTAACCTCTGACGATGTGGTGCACTGGCAAATCCTTTAGTCTAGGCTTTAGAAAACCCGGGTTCTAGTCCTGGCCCCGTCACCTAATGGCTGTGCCCCCTTGAACAAGTTAATAAAGGTTCCGAGGTTCTAGGTTTCCTTCGTTGTGGACCTCACAGGATTTATTTGTGTGTGCGTGGGTGTGTGTGACTTCCAACTAGAAAAACATGAGTGCATTTTGATAGCTAAGTTTGCAATGACAAGGTTTCATTAGACTTGGCTCTACAGTTACACTGGCTGGATTTGAATCCTAGCTCCACCACTTGCCGTCCTAAATTCTCTGTGCCTTGGCTTGCTGCTTTGTAAAGTGGGAATAATAAGAATAACCTTCAATGGTTATTAGGAAACTTAAATGAGCTATTATACATGAAGTGCTTAGATAGTGCCTAGTAAATGTTCATCGTTATTATTATAAGGATTATAGCAATAAAGTCAAATGAAAAATATAAAAAAATCCTAGGAAGCGAAAAATTGAAATAGGCTTATTCTTTATCCGTGCCTTATTTTACTTCTCTCTTCCTTTTCCTGCTTCCTCTCCACATGCCTATTTCAATGGTGCAATCAGCAAAGAATTATCTATCACACTAACACCTGCTATATACGTCAAACTTTGTACCTCAGCTGTTAGGCAAGATCAAAATTGCTCTAAAGTCCTTTTGGATTATTCAATGAACCTGGTTTGCATTTTGATTAGGTTTGTATATATATTACTAGGGAAATTGCCCTCTGCTAACACTAAATTTGCAGTGACAGTGCCCTGCCAGCCCAAATGATGGTGCTCAGCTTCACCCTCTGACCTTCTGTGTGATGGAGACTCCGAGAATTTTTCATCCTTTAGAGATGAGGAAAAAGAGCTAAATACATTAAAACAAAGAGCTGACCTATCAAAAATGATAATATCCACTGATAAAAACAAAAGGTATGAGGAGAAGAAAGCTAGTCCACTGTGTGCTTACCCCAAGAATCTGGCTGAATAAAAAGGCATACAGGGGTGTGACTGTCCCGTTAACAGCCGCACCCACACCCCCTACCAGCATGTAGGGCCATTCCGGAGCATTGAATTTCAGAATCCTCCTGACTGGGGCGGGTTCAATTTCTTCTTCCACAAAAGTAGCTTTGCCCTTGAGGGGAGAGAGGGTTACATTAACCATCCAACTATACACACAGACATCGTGTATATACTCTTTTATTATAGAGCAGACCCTTTAGCATTCACAGATTTAAGAGTCATAGTTTGATCGGTTATAAGTGACCTCAAAGATTTATGAGATGCAGTGGTTTGTTATGTTTTAAGGAATGGTTTTGAATTGCTTGAGACTGTGTCGTGGCTTGGATGAGATTGAACCTAGAGGACTGAAGGTGAGTTTGTAGTTTTCGTTTCACGATCACATGTGTATTAACTCTCAGGGAGTAATAAATATGTTGGCTCTTTGGAAAAATAACTCCTAATTAAAAAAAAAAAAAACTTTCCTATGGTTGTATTTACACCTGTGGGGACTTGTGAAATTTTCAAGGTATGTTTTACATGAATGTCATGGTTCTATAATCTAGTAACTGGCTAAAGCTCAAAGGCAGGCCAGTATATCTGAAATGACACAAAATAATTTTACAAATTAATTAAGTGGTATCAACAGTTATCATTGATATGTTTTCAGCAAAATTTTCCTTAATTAGTGCCCAGAAGTAAGTGGTACTCCATTTGGATTTCTAAATTGCACATTTTCTTCACAAGGAGTGAAAATTAATATTTCCTTATTCTGATCTCTTTAGTTGCCATTAAACTGTCAGAACTAGTAAATTTTTATCCTCTCAATGGCAAATATTATATACAGAACACCATCATTTTTGCCATCATTTTTCTTTGCTATAGATACTACTCGGTGCTTGGTCTTTAGGCCCATTTATTCCATAATTTGTTAAATTTATTACCCACTTTGAGAAAGGATTTCAGGTGGCTTATATAGATTTGTATTGATTTTTTTAAACTTTTCTATTAAAATGTACTAAAAATATCTATAGCAAATTGACTACAAAACTATTAATTAATGCTCTCTTTCCATTAATACGTAGTAATTTACCTTTAGGTAGCTGAATGGCGAGAATAGACAACAGCAAGGATCTTCAGAAACCTTCCCTTTGCTTACAAAGTCAAACATCACATCCAATTTAAATAAAAGCCTGGTGCCAGGGCCATTTCATTACAGTTGCAAGCCAGATAGGATGAAGGAAGGCAGCTCAAGCAGATGATGAATTTGTTACTGCCTCCATTTCAAGTTCTCTCTTGGCCTGTCCCCAATATCTACACTTTGTCATTACTGCTCACTCATGCAGCAAATCCTTCTGTTCAATTATTTCATCTCTGACAGCTCACTAACTCTAGGCAATCGATGCCAGAGAAGAAGAAGGCTGCCTGGGAAAACATGAGTGGAACAGGCATAGGGAGAACGGGGGTCTTGGACAAGCCCCACACAGCCACCAATGGAATATATCACCGAGTGCTTTAACTCTCGGAACCTGTCACCTCATCCTTAAAATAAGAGAGATGGACTAGGAGGTTCTTCTGGGGAGACAGTCTCTCTGGGTTGCTCATGTTTCTGCATATCTTGTGAACAGAGGCATTGACAACCTTTGGTCAGATTATTTTTTCAGGGATGTTTGTAAAACAAACAGCCTTGGAAGACAGAGATGGTATCTTCCTCTCAAGCAAAAGGCAGGAGGTCTACCCACAACCTGACGTGATGGAAATTTTCCTAACCTTCTGATACCTGAAAGTATCCCAAACCCTAAACAACAATACCTAAGATATTGAAAAGCAATATGAAGTAATCTTTGCCCAGTGATTTTCATTCCAAAATAAATTAACAAGTAAATTAATTAATTTGAATAATTTTCTTTTGCCCCCTACACTAAAAGTTTGACCTAAAGAAAATTGTTCCCAACATTCCCCCAAAAATGTAGCTGTCAAGCCTGAATGATGCAACAACTAGAAAATCTGTCCCTGAATAATGAACTTCTGATTGCATTTTATTTGATATCTCCACTACAAAAACAGTAGATGAATAAAAGAAAGAATTAAAGTCATTCTGTAAAAAAAGATATTTTTTTCTGACTTTTGCAAAACTAAATATAAAGGGAAAATGGATAAATTAACAGCAAATCAGGAACTCACAGCGAGAGGTAAAATGATAAAGTTTATATGTGTTTCCTCACGGCAGAGTTCATACCTCTATTGTAGCACTAGCAGGTTGCAGAAGGCTTATTTTTTTTTTTTTTAATCAAAAGTAAGGATGTAGTTGTCAGCAACTACATCGTGGGGAGAACCATGGTAGCTCTTGTACATCTTTGAGCCCCCAGCATAACACCTGGCACTCCGTAGGTGTGCAATCAGTGCTTATTGGCCAAGGGAAAATATTAATATAAATTCCAACTTAAATCTTAGGTCCTGCTTTCTATGCTTTGTTACACTGGTTTCTGCGTTCCATTCAATAGAGGTCTCCTGCCCTAGTAATAACTTTAAGATTCGATGATAAGCAATGGTAACTACAACAAAGAAGCTGAGATTTCCCAAACGAACAAATATCCATAGTCGTTTTTATGGGTCCTGTCTCTGTCTTCTCTCTTAACACATGCCTAACTCCTGTCTTACAAGTTAGCTGTGATGAAGTTATGCATGTCTAATATTTGACCCTGACTTGATCGCATATATATTCTGCCTTGGTTTTTAGTTTCACTGAAAGAGACGCCTAAGTGTTCGAGATGGAGACCTCTAGCCTGTGGGTTTCCCCTAATCCTAAACTTAATTCTAACAGCACTATAAATTAGATATGACCTCACTTACGGGAGCTGATGGTACAGCTTGGAGAGTAAGGAGAAATTGGCTATGGTCTTACCTCTGTCACCAACTAATTATGATCCCTTGGGGCAGAAACCCCACTTAGAGTTTGGAAGCACAGACTTCTTAGTTTCTGAGTCAATACTCTGTGAAACCACAAGGTGGAGATAACTCCTTTGCGTAAATCAACTTTTAGCAACAGAACATTACCCGATCTATAGAAGGTAAGGTTAGGCCTTCTCCATCAAAATGAGAAAAAGAAAGGATTTTTCCAATGCTTTGGCTTGCAGAATTTAGTTAAATATTAAAATACTTTAAAATACCAAAACTGAGCAACATTTATTCTTACAATGTTATTGTGATTAGAACTTTCATAAGTCAAATTTTATTAACCCTAATTTTATGGTTTCCTTTTTAAAAATAATTCTTTAAATCTAAAGGACTCGTATAATTATTGTAGAAACAAGCAGTATTAACATAATACGTTTTCCTCTTGGAGCTTTAACATAATCCCATTGGCTTCCCTTTCATTTTTCTTCTCCTTTTCTTTTCTATCTCCCTTAACTAGAGAAAATATAAAGTAGCATCTTTAAAAAATTACACTGGTTTATATTTAACTGAGTTTAATTGTTCTGTTCTTAATTTATAATGCTGATGAGTAGAATATAATATGGAATATTTTAGTCTCTCTAAAACTAGCCCCTATATTAAATTTAGATTTTCTTTTATTTGAATGTCTCTCTTCTGAGTGCAGAGTTCTCTGTACCCAGAGAACTCTACAGGAATCTGACCTAAGATCTCCAGAAAATCTCACGGTTCTCTGTAACTATGCTAGGCCATCTACCAGCTTACACAACAGCAAAAAAGTCAGATTTTTCTTTCCTCCCTCCCTTCTTTCCTTCTCCTCTTATTTTTATAGTCAAACATTTACCCAGATACTAGAAAAAAATGCAAAAATTGAATATGATGATTGGTACTGTTATGTTTGAAATGTCAATGTAGTGTTCGGTTCTCTCCCTTGTATTAAACTCCTATTCTTTTATAATGCATCTTGTAGTTATTTGTGGCAGCAACATGGACTAAATGAAATAGTTATTTCTAGAATTAGAAGAGGAGTTGAGTTTTTAACGGCAAGATGCAGTAAGAAACCCTGCTTGCTACCTGTTTTCTCTTGCTGCAATGCATCCTGCTGCTCCTGAGAAAAAGTATTCTATGGAACTTATTTAAACCAACCTATTAGATATTGAGAACTCTATTTATTCAATATTAATATATTAAAACCAAAAGATAGCCTTAATAATCCTTCTGTTATAGTCATAAGGTAGTCACAATCATAAGTAGTGCTGTACTTTATTCCAAACTTAGCCATTGTGAACCAATGTTCATCATTACTTCCTAATGGATTCACACACTGGAATTTTATTGAAGACGATTTGAAATTATACCATGGGTAAAGGATGTGTTTGTAATTAAAATATTCTCTGACTTATTTGCTTTGATAAATCTTGCAGCATGGGCTTTATTTTATTGTAGGACTTCAATTTTTCATTCTAGTTTTAAAATCTCCTGATGTCCTACTAGTTGCAAGGCACTGGGTTAGGTGATCAAGTTGATTCAAACACAAATAAGATGCAGTCACTAACTTTAAGAAGCTTATAATTTAGCAAGTGGATAAGGCAACATGGCTTCAATGAAGGCTCAATAAGAAAATTTACCATGAAAAGCTTCTCATGAAGGGTTACAGGGTAATGAAAGTGAGTCGATCAGGCTAAAGTGTAAAGCGCAGTGATCAGGAAAGGCTTGGGGAAGAACGACGGTCATCTTATGTGAAAACTGCATAATGTCCACGACAGCAAGACACCTGCATCCTTATGAAGAAAGTTTTGTGTTGCTATACATGTCGTTTCCTCTCCTAGCTCTTTAATTTTGATGCTATTCTGGATTATGTTAAAATGAATAGTATTATTTTAAATGTATCTCAAAACAATTATAAAATTGTGTGAAGTAAACAAATGTCCATAAAACCTAGTTGACCTCCATTAATTAAAAAATGTTGATAATTTGTATAAGGGCTAACCTACTCAATTATGTTTGTTCATTAAGATATTTTTGCCAAGGTTATTATAATTTAAGAAGGAGATTTTAAAATTTGAGAAAAATGTTTTCAGATGTTCTTTAAAACTTTGTAAAAGGATATCGACATATAAGCAAATAATCTGCTAAGTACATATAATGAACACATTCCCTGTGTTTATGAGAACAGTGCATCTAAGAATTATTAACCCGTAGAATTCCAGAATTTTAGAATTTTAGTTACCATATATTCTTTTTTTTTCTTTTTTTTTGTGACAGAGTCTCACTCTGTTGCTCAGGCTAGAGTGCCGTGGCATCAGCCTAGCTCACAGCAACCTCAAACACCTGGGCTCAAGCGATCTTTCTTCCTCAGCCTCCCGAGTAGCTGGGACTACAGGCATGTGCCACCATGCCCGGCTAATTTTTTCTATATATTTTTAGTTGTCCTGCCAATTTCTTTTTATTTTTAGTAGAGACGGGGTCTCGTTCTTGCTCAGGCTGGTCTCGAACTCCTGAGCTCAAATGATCCACCCGCCTCGGCCTCCCAGAGGGCCAGGATTACAGGCGTGAGCCACCGCGCCTGGCCCTATATATTCTTGAAAGTAATTAACTAGCTAATCTGCATTTCTTTTAAAATACTGTGTAAAATTTTGAGCTTTCATTGGGTTCTAATGTTACATCATTTAGTTTGATTTAGTGAAATATTACTAGATATAAGCCTAGAAAACTCATATTCTTAAGTTTAAAGAACAATAGCCCCAGGAGAGATTTCTTCCATTTCCCCATGAGTAATTGGTGCCTGACCTTTGCGTCTTCTTCATAAGTAGACTTATGATCTACAGCAGCTAATGCAGGTTCAGGTGCCAGGTAAGAAAGCTGAGACTTGGAACGTTGCCGGATGGAAGCTCTGTAAATAAAAAGAAACATGAAACAATGTAGATTGTGGCCGGATTGGAACAGGACTCAACTGGTATCCAAGTTTACACTTCATATGTCACATAAACAGAAATGTTTGATAGGTCACATGGCAACCAGGTAAGGGAGCTTACAGGTTAGGTTTGACAGAGCTATTCTTAGGGCAGATCTAGTTAAGTTGATTGCTCTGGGCCTCGAGCTCTTGCAACTGTTGGACCCAGGCTGGGAGGGAGAAACAGAAAGGGAGCAAAGTCCACCAGTCCACAAAAAAAAACCACAAAACACCTAAAATGCAAATACATTCTAAACCCACATAGTTCTGTTAATTGCTAGCATAGCAATGATCCATCACATTCACCTTCCTTCTGGTTTAGACTATAGTTTGGTATCTCTCTCTCTTCCGCTCTCTCTCTCATACCTGATGTTAACTTTGGCACGATGCCACCCGGATACAAATGATAGAAGGAAATAGGGCTCCCGGTGTGATTTTCTCCAGGCTATATACTAGCCCTAGGGATGCATTAAGTATCTTATGGAAATATAATTTAGATTAACATGTTCATTCTTTCATTTATTAATTCAACAGAGGCTTATTGGGCACCTACAACATACAAACCAATGCCAGGTGCTGTGGGAGACACAAAGATTAGTCAATCACAGCCTTTTCCCTCAAGGAGTTTAGATCTTACAGAACAGGCATGTCCCTAACTCTGATATAAGGAAGAATGTAGTACGTGCTGCAAGGCAAGTTTGAAAAAAGAGTGTGGAAATTCAAAGGAAAAAGAAATACATGGCAAATGTTACCGAGACAGAATTCATAAAAGACGTGGCTAAGGTAGAGTTTGGGTATTTGTAGACTAGAGGAAAGAGCATTTCTGATTAAGAGGATATTATAAACAGAAGTACGGATGCTGGGGAGAACAGGGTTACTCGGTAAATATACTTAGCACATGCAATGACAAGCATAAGAAGTAATTGGTTCAGGTTGTCTCCCCACCCCCTGCCCCGAGATTCCTGGGAAGGAGACCCCCATTATCCTCTAGGTTAACCTGAAAGTATGCAGTGCTGGGGGTTGTTGACAATTACATTGAGACCTCCAAGGAAAGAAGCTTCCTGAAAAATAAAGCCAACAGTGAAATAATAGAGCTAAGAAAGGAAGAGAGAGAAACTGTATCTATCTTGGACATAACACGGAAGCTCTGGCCTTGCCTGAAGCCAAAGCATCTTTGGACTATTTAGTTGTGTGAGCTGATTCTGTCTTTCTAAAGGTTTGATTGCCTTAGGTTTTCAGTCATCTACAAATAAAGAGTCTTAAATGACAGAGGCTGTGCTGATGACTTGGGAGGAGGAAGTTACATTATCAAATCTGTGTTTTAGAAAGCTTAAGCTGAAGTACACGTGTAAAGAGAGATGTCAGCCATGAGACCCACATCAACTGTTCTAGAGCTATCTAGACAGAACCATTCGCATGTCTATCATTTTGTATCCAGGTTAAATTAGCCTAAAGCAAATATCAAGGTGGTACCTGCCTACTATAGGCTCATCTAGCCTCCTTGAGAAGACAGTAACAAGTCAACTTAGGTACTTTGATATGTTCCCACACTCTGTTAATGACACTGCCACCCTCTTAGCTACCCAGGTTCAACCCCATGCATTTACCTCAAGTCCTCCCTCTTCCTTGCTCCTGCATATTCAAATTCTTGCCAAGTCTCATTATGACCAGGCATGAAAGCACTTCTCAACCCCACCCACTCCATGCCACCAAACTGGCTCTGGGTCAGCCCCATTCCCTCCCACCTCACCTCAAGCTCTATCACGATAGTCATTTGTTTGGGTTAGGTAACTAGGGCTGGGATGTCTTCTCCAGAAGGAATGCAGAATAGAATTGAGTCACCTGGAGAGAGCAAGGTGCATGATAGGGGAGACTTAAGGTCACAGACCTGAAAAGCAAACCCAGAGCAATTGGACACCAAAGTAGGAGTATGTGGAGAAGGAGAGGTCACTGAGATATGATTGACTACCTTCCAGTTCAGACAATGGGAAGACCTATACCCTTAACCCCTCGGATTTCTACTACTTTAACTTTGTATTTCTTAAGTCTCTCTCTCCCCCTTCCCCAAACCATTCCACCTATCTAGCACAGGCTGTCACGAGAACATGAGCAGTAAGTATGCTGGGCAGGGGCTCTACCTGCTAGCTGGTTCCCCTGTAGTCTATCAGAAACACCAGAGTAAGAATTCTCTCACACCCCTTTTCAGAATCCTACATCTGCCTCTCCCCTTCTCAGAAGCTGCATACCACTTCTCACTGCAAATGAAAACAGCTAATTTGGGAAATAAATACTCTATTTCTTAACATTATTATTCATGAAATTAGTTGCTGTTATCCATTAAGTTGTTCTTGGATCGAAAATATATTGCTGAAGAGGGACTCAGCCATCAGAAAGATTGAAGTCAAAGAAACAAGATACAAATTAACATTTCACTTAGTCATCTTTTAGCAAAAAAAGATGTCAGCATATACATTTAAATATTTTTAACAGATCTTTTTATTCAAACTTATAAATCTTTCTTTGCAGGAGGTTAATAGCTGTGTGTAGATTGTATTTCTGGATTTCTCATTCTAGTTACTAAAATGTAGACTTTGTGAGAAGTTATAGCCAAATAAGAAATGTCTATATTAAAAATGGTTATCTGGTCGTAATAATAAACTGGAAGTAAACTACTTAAAACAGGCAGAATTTTGTTCATCTGAAAAGTCAAGGAAATATTTATTTTCTTTTTTGGGCATGACCACAAGAAACACTTCCTCTTTGCAATCTTTAGCCTAGTGACCAAAAGAGATACCTAGGTTCTCTGTGTTTAGGAAGTTAGTTGAGGCTGGGTGTGGTGGCTGACGCCTGTAATCCTAGCACTCTGGGAGGCCGAGGCGGGCGGATCGTTTGAGCTCAGGAGTTCGAGACCAGCCTGAGCAAGAGCGAGACCCCGTCTCCACTAAAAATAGAAAGAAATGAATTGGACAACTAAAACTACATAGAAAAAATTAGCCGGGCATGGTGACGTATGCCTGTAGTACCAGCTACTCGGGAGGCTGAGGCAGGAGGATCGCTTGAGCCCAGGAGTTTGAGGTTGCTGTGAGCTAGGCTGATGCCACGGCACTCACTCTAGCCAGGGCAATAGAGTGAGACTCTGTCTCAAAAAAAAAAAAAAAGAATATTTGAAAACCTTAAAATCTACCCCATAGCTTGTGCTTACCTTAAACTATCCTGGTAGCTCCCTCTGCTAAAGGTCCTCTCAGGTATGTCACCTTCAGTTGCATCTTTTCCTATTCAATACAACAGGAGCAATTCCTTAGTGTACACAATAAGCAGAACCATATCTAAATAGATTTATTTACTATGTTTGCTTAGAATGTAATTACTATTAATATGTTTAATGCCAAAACATTCTATTAACTTTATTGCTATTAACTTTAAATAAAACTTGGAACTTGCCTGGCACATTCTAACAAAAAATTTCATCAAGATTGAGCCATTTGAACCATAGCCTGTATCCTCTAAAGCTGTGGTCCCCAACCCTCAGGCCACTGACCGACTGCCAGGCATTGGGCCGCTCAGCAGGAGGAAAGCTGAGGTTGGGTGAGTGAGCAAGCGAAGCCCCACCTGCACCCGCAGCCACTCCCCATCGCTCCCATCACCACCCAGGCCCTGACCCCGCATCCGATCATCAGTTATACCTAACAGAGTTCACAAATTCAAATGTGAAATGGTGGAGAAAGTTTAGAGTGGCCGGGTAATTTAGACTGGGGTAACCACCAAGTCTGAAAATTCAGATTGATAAAGAGAAGGTGCACTAAGGCCTGAAATACCTATCTACATTTGAAAGTAAATAAAACAACTTCTTAGTCATTGATCAACTCACTCAACCAACAAGCATGGCGCTCCCACTGTGTGCAGGACACACTCAAGGACACACTCTAGGAAGCCTCTCTTACTTGCACAGGGTAAAGAAAAGGGAACAGAATTGAAAGTTAGAAGTCCTTGGTTTTAGCCCTATGACTTGGTCAAATCACTTATCCTCCCGAGCTTCAGCTGTCTCCTTTACCATCTATATAATGCCTGCCAGGGCTGTTGGGAGAACAAATCGGTGTATATTAAAACGCACAGGACGCCCTAAAGCACTATATATATTGACTATTTAGTAAAATACACAAGCGTGAGGGAAGAGGCACTTGCCATTTATGTTCTCTCCATTAAAGTCTTGACCTCCTGTACTTTGCAAAGTCACTAGAGTGAAGTAAACGCCTTTCCTTTCCAGCAGTTCTTCATGGGTGCCCCTCTCCACGGCGGTGCCATGTTCAAAACCAATGATGACATCTGCAGCTCTGACCGTAGATAGGCGATGAGCAACGGACACGATTGTGTGCCTGTGCTGCATCTGTAAGGACATGCAGTGCACAGTGAAATGAGACAGTAAGACAGAGCCGACTTTGCCCTTTGGATCTTCTCAGAATCTACAAGTAAGTCACAGCCTTGGTCCCTGGGAACACCTTTAGATAGGCTTTGCAGACATTAGAAAAGCACACTTTCCTGTGGCTATAAACCCCATGACACATGGGCCCTGTTGCTGCTCTTAATCAATAGCTAAAAAAAAAAATGTAATTTAAAAAATCACATAAATTAGTCTTGCGAGATTTAAAATTTTACATGTGTAGCTTTTGGAAACAAATCAAAACAGTCTTCTGTTCAACTGTGGGAAAGACAGTAGTCAGCCAGTATTCTCGAGTCTAAACAATCAGACTGAAAACATGGAACACTCCGAACACACACACCCACACACACACTCTCTCCACTCCGAGGGACTGCCTTTCTTGCAGCAGCACAAGCATTTGCACACGGATCTGCAAAATGAATGCAGACTTTCCACAGACCTTACTCAGTGCTTCTTGAACCAGGGCTTCGCTCTCATTGTCCAAAGCAGAAGTGGCCATGTCGAAAAGCAGGATCCTGGCGTTTCGGATGAGGGCTCTCGCAATGGCCACTCTCTGTTTCTGGCCACCACTCATCTGGCTTCCTCCTTCTCCAACAACAGTGTCAAATTGCTAGGAGAAAGGTGACACGAGGCATGAAGGAAGAAGAATTTGATGGCTCCTGACAGCAATCCAGTACAAGATCTTTTCAGCTTCCTTCTCAAGCATGAATTTTCACAGGACCAACTTTCACAGAAGGAAATACCCCTTCCCGAAATGGGTTATTGTCTAGTCAATATTTGTGTGTGAGATAAAGAAATTGATTTACACTTTTATTCCCAGGTTCACTGGGCTGTATAAATGTTCCTCTTCAGCCCAACTTCATTTTCAACTAAGGTAAAAATTGATCAGGGTTCTGAAAATCCATCTTAGAGGATTAAAGCGGATATCAAACCCTTGTCTCTTTTCTCTAGCTAGACAATACAGCAAAACATAATGTTAAGGCTATCTGCATACTGTGAATAAAAGGTCAAACTAACTTTATAATTATTACCATTGACAGCAGGTAGTTACTGAGTACCTCACTTGTCTAGCAGGACACTGGAATCTAACAGGGAGGTATTAAATAGTCAGACACTTATCTTGCTTATTATAAACCAACATGAATTGAGCACCCACCACTGCTGAGCTTTTCACATATATTATCTCATTTAGTTCTTGTACACACCCCGTGAGGCAGGTACTTGCTGCTCTCCTCAACTGATGAGTAAGGAAACAGCCAGGCATAAAATGGGTAAAGAAACTTGCGAAAGTGTATAAAGCTTGTACATGGAGAAGCTGGGATTTGTATCAAGTCTGATTCTAAAGCTGAGATTTGTATCAAGTCTGATTCTAAAGCTTAATACTCTTTAAGCACTAGACGATATCACAGTGGCACTCCTGTTCATAAAGATAATTTAGAAGGCTGAGTAGAAAGTGTTCAAGATCACTGACTCTAGAGCCAGACTCCCTGTGTATGAATCTTGTCTCTCCTGCTTACTTGCTATATGGTTTTGAGCAAGCCATTTGACCTCTCAGAACTTGTTCTCCATTTATAAATGGGGAAAATAACAGTAGCTACTTGACAGGGTGGTTGTGAGAATTAAAAGAGTTAATAGATATAAAGTGCTTAGAACAGTTCCTGGTATGTAGTAAGCACCATATGTATATTAATTGTTAATAATATCTCTTCTTCGACTTAGCAGACCATCAGGGGCAAAATCTATAATAATGTGGAGATATTTTTGTAATCGTTGTTGCTTAGAATAAAAATATATGAAAAATTGTTTTTGAATATGTAAGATGTGGTAGTGAGGACACAATATTAGCTGCTAAGCACAAGAAAACTAAAGAGCAATGACAATGGTAAACATCAAGGGAGCATTGTACAAGTTATTACCACATGACAAATTTAGCATCTGCTTACACGAATGCTTAATTGTTAGAAAAAGGGCATTGTATTTACGTCAAAAGGAATTTTTAAAAAGGCACTTCCCTAGTTTGGTAGATTCCTAATATATTAACGACAAAGGGAACTTTTCAAAAGAAAGCTCCCCAGTTTGGTAGATTCCTAATATATTAACGACAAAGGGAACTTTTCAAAAGAAAGCTCCCCAGTTTGGTAGATTTTGAATGTATAAACAATGTGTTTTCAGATGAAATGGAAAACTCATGGTACATTTCCAGGAGTGAAAATAAAACACGACATTAAGAATTTAATGATTCAAGATTTAAAGGAAATGTGTATTATTATGTAACTTTTTTTCCTTCTGTGACTTCTGGGTTTCCCCTTGGAAAAGGCTGGGGGTACCTGTGGCAGGTCCATGATGAAGTTGTAGGCATTGGCCTCCTTGGCAGCTCGGACTACATCTTCCATCGTTGCGTCTTCTCTGCCATAGCGAATGTTTTCTGCAATGGTGGTGGAGAACAGAGCTGGCTCTTGCTCCACTATGCCAATCTGATCTCTAAGCCACTGAATGTTAAGAGAGCGAATGTCATGACCATCCAGAGTCACCTGGAGAGAATAAGCACAACATCACATCTCTTGGAATCCTTCAGGGCTCTGAATCATAACATGTTGTACTTGACCAATGGGGAGAAAAAATAGAGACTAACAAGATTATAACAGAAACAATTCTTCTTGAAATGTGGTTGTTTATATATGTAATTGACAATATGTGATTGAAATCAAGTATAGCTGCAGGACGATTCATTGTAGAAACACAAGCGATGTAAATAAAGGTCACTTAATTTAACACTATTGGCCCAGGAATGGATAAATCATTAATTCCTCAGTAAAGAGTAGAATCTGTTATTCACCTTATATTCATACTTTGAATACTTTTATTATCTTTTGACTTCTGACCAAAAAGGGACTAAAAAAATAAAATAAAATTAAGTAATGATTCCTGTATTGTATATATTTTTTATATCAATAGTAAGTCTTACTCTGTGGCCAAATTCATCAAATAACAGCTTTGCTGTTCAAAAGCAATTGAAGCTATGAGTGGGAGTAAATAAAAATCACTATTAGCAAAACTGTAAAAGTCTTACATCAAGAAACCATGATTTCTATATACTCAGAGTGTAGTTATAGTGGTATGTAGTAAAGAATACCCAAGCAGAGATAAAATGTCTATGAAAAAGGAAAATTCTGCTGTTTGTCATGTCAGTGTAACATTATATGCATGGTAAATAACTCATTTCATTTAAGTCATTTAGTAGACAGTCAAATGATTTTATCTCAAGGCATCAAGGAGATGCTAACACGAATGATTTTGAGACAGAAAGAAAAAAGCATGGGCTTTGGTACCCATCACACCTGGGTTCAAATCCCAGCGTGGTCACTTACTAGCTGAATGGTCTGAGGGGATCTCAATCTCTCTGACTCTCTGTTTCCTCATTTGTCAAATGGGCATATGTACCTTTTGGGTCACTGTGACAGTAAGTAATCATTTCTATAAAGTACCTGACATGTAACATGTGATACATAAATGTCAATTGTTAATGCTAATTTTCTTAGTTTCAATCTACGTTTATAGTCAAACACAAGGAAAAAGTGACTAAGTAGGTTTGTAAAATTGTATCACTAAAAAGCCCCCAACTCTTTGAAGCAGTAATCAAGGGCTGCTCTCTGTTAATTTCTAGCTGTGTTAGCTTTCCTATACTTAGCGTTTGGAGCACTCAAGGAAATAATATGATTTTATGACAACACAAAGAAGTAGAATAGATAGTTCAATGAAGAGGCAGCAATACCATTTTGAATATACAGTCATGTGTCACCTAATAACAGGAATATATTCTGAGAAAGGCATCGTTAGGCAATTGTGTCATTGTGCGAACATCGTAGAGTGTACTTACACAAACCTAGATGGTATATATATTTTTACTTATGTATTTTTTCATATAGAAAACCAAATGTCCCAGCACCATTACTAAATATCAATCAATCCCTAATTTATCTGCAATGCCGATATCAAGTGCCATATATCAGGTGTCTGTATGTGCTCCATTATAATCTTATGGATTATAATGCGAGGGACCACCCTCGTATATGTGACCCTTCACTGACCCAAACGTCATTATGCTGCACTTGACTGTGTCTGCACATTCAGTTACATTACTCAGGGAATGGAACTGACTGGTTATTCATTGAACACTGTCACCACGTAGGGAGTTTGTCCCATCAATTCAGTAACAAACCATTAAGTCAACCATACATGTTGCAGGACAGTCTCAGTATATTCTAGGTCTTTGTATTTAACCAATATATTGCCATTTGCACTCTCCCACTCCCGAGTATTGAGAGGTTTCTGGAAGACACACACCATGCCTTCACAGGGGTCATAGAATCGCTGAATGAGCTGCAGTGCTGTACTTTTCCCAGCTCCACTGGCTCCTACCAAAGCTGTCACTTCTCCTGGTTTAATCACCATGTTGAGATTATTTAAAATCTGGAGAAGAAAGAAAACAATAAAGTTCAGATTGTCACAGTGTACCAAATCAAACAATTAGGCTACAGGTAAGGATGCTTTGTGAGGACACTCTGTGTATGCACGTGTGTTTACATATGCTCCCCAGAGTAACAAATATCAATATCCTTCAA